AAGTGAAGTGAAATCATATGGTATTTATCTTTCTCTGACTTATTTCACTCAGCATAATAACCTCGAGGTCCATCCATGTCATTGCAGATGGTAGGATTTCATTTTTTTTTAATGGCTGAGTAATATTCCATTGTATATATGAACCATAGTTTCTTTATCCAATCATCCGTTGATGGGCATTTAGGATGCTTCCAGCACTGGCACTTTTTAATCTGCCTCCCTCCTTCTTGAAACCTTCCCCCTCCCCTGCTGACACCGCCCTCAGAGGAGCGTAGACTTTTAAATGACTGACTTAGTAACGGGCCGGCTGCAACCTCGGGCCATCTGCGTCCAGCTCTCCCGAGCGTGGATCGTGCCTCCACATAAATCACATCGTCCAGCTTGCTAGAAAGTTCCTTGGCTTTCTGCTTATCACTTCAAGAACAGTCAGTTCCCTGTTGCCTGTGCCAAGCATGTAAACAAGAGTGTTTCTTCTTTCCATGGCGACAGGCGCATCTCATCGTCCTGAGCAGAAAGCCCTCTCCAGAGGAGGCGATGGTGTCCGCACACTGTGTCGCTCGAGCTGCTGTCACTTCCGGGAGGCCCGAGCACCAGGGTGAGAGCCAGACTTCCGTGAGTGACAGGCGCTGCCTGCACTCTGCCTGTCCCGCGTCCATCTGGGTCTGTAAACCTGCCGCCTTCGGACGAGTGAACAGGGGGACGGAGCTGTGACAGGCCCTTCGGAGAGCCCTCGTGGCTTCATCCGGTCACCTGTAGCTGGGCCACTCCGTTAGCATCGGCAGAGTCCTTTCGTTTCTACCCGTTTGGCCTTCTGCTCATCTTTTATTTTCAAAGACAGAGAGTCTTCATCCAAACATAGCTGTCAAGAGCCCCAGAGAACCCGTGCTGGGCTTACAGGGAAATCTGCTGTGCTTTCCAAGGTGATCTATTTTTAAAGATTGTTGCGGGGCTACTGTGGCAACAGATTTGGCCTTTTGGAAAGCCGGCCTCCGGGCTCGCACTGGGCTGAGCTTTCAATTAGGATGAACTTACAGTTTCAGGATTCCAAAGGGAAGTCGCCATTTATGACTCATGAGGTTTTTCTTAGCCCCACATAATAGGCCGGCGGGTTTGGGGAATTCACCATCCTGGCATCAGAGCATACAATAGGCCCTATTGATAAAGAACACACATTCTAGTGCCTTCTTTTTTTTGTTTCTGTTTTTTGGTCAGAATATTCAGAAACAGAGTAGAATTCATAAAGAAGACCCATGGGTGTACTCCAAGATGTCAGATAAACAGTTCTGTATTAGTAGTAAAATAAAGTCCAGTGTCCCAGCGAGGTTAAACTCGATACCAGGAAGGCTCGGGGCCGGGCAGGGCCTCCAGTCCGGGGAGGAGCTGGCACAGGGAAACCGGTGTCGGTCCATCTGTCCGTCCCACCTTGCAGCCCCCTCATTCTGGTCTCCTGGAGCTTTGAGCTCCTCAGCAGAGCTGCAGGAGCCTGTCTAGGGACAGAGAGAAAAGGCAAGTGACCTTTCCAGTTTCCACTCTCTAGCACACTCCATACATAACAATCAATTTCAAAACCTTTGAAAAACCAACCTTTTGACCAGCTTCTGTTAACAAGACACTTAAAATGCCAATGCGCGTTTGACGGAATCTCCTGGAATAGCAGGAGTCAAGAATCTAAATATTTATGGGAACCAAACAGGCGACGTGAGTGGAGCGGGTAGTTATTAGAAAACAGTCACGGCATCGAGACTGCGGGTCGCGATTGGCCGTAACGCGAGAGGGGCGACGTCGCGCGGTGAGGCCTGCGGCTAACGGGAGAAGCCGCCGCCTGTCCACAGCGAGTTGCCGCTGCGTGGAGGGCAGGCCGATGCTGGCAGATCTGCCTTTTCAAGAGAAGACGCAGTTATCTGGAATCAATTTGTAATCGATGGTCAGGAGCTCGAATGTATTTCAGGCTCCGAGCGAGGCAAAGCCAGGGCGAGGGAGGAGCGGCCAGGTCCACGTGCCCGGGGGGTCCCAGTTCCGCTCCCCTCTGCTTCCGCCTGTCTGTGCTGGGCACACTTTTTCTTTGAAAAACGAACCATTAAGGAGAAAGATCTCTCATTTGGGGATTCTCTGTAGCCTCCTTGTCGAATGCCCATTGAAGGCATTGCCCTCAGACAGAAAAAAAAAAAAACCCACACCACCGGCCAAGAAGCCAGTGTGTTTCAGGCTCCACGATCAAGCTGATGCCTTTGCCCGGTGCTTTCCCTGCATTCCTTATGCAGACAAAACCGCCCTAGAAGTCACGGAGGATTTGATTGCATAAGGCTCCCTATCTACGCTCCTGGAATGTCACTGACCTGAGCCTGGCGGGCATCCTGGAGCAGCCTTAGACAAACTTGGTGCTAAGAGCTCTCCCAGCCCTGCTAAGTGCTCAGGGCGCTGGCCTGGGCTTTATAACTCTTCTCCTAAAGGACATTAAAAAGAAATGGGCCGAAGCCAAGTACATCTCAGTGTAAACCTCCGAGAGGCAGGGCCCGCCGAGCGGAGGTGGCCTTGTTTGGAGCTCTAGCGGGCCAAGGAGCTCTGCAGGGTCCACGGATATTAGGACACGATGGGCTCTGCCCCTCAGAGCCTCGGGGACACGGGCTGGGGTCCCCGGCCACGTGGACCAGGCTCGTGAGCGCGGGGTGCATTCCTCAGATAAGCTCCCTGTCCACAAGCACGCCTGTCCCCACGTTTTGCACAATAGACATGAAATGTGTGAGCGTCTGAAACGAGGCCCTGTATATCTCGATAAAATGTCCTCTTTTTCACCCCGCACCATCTTCCCTTTCCTCCTGCGGCCCACCTTCTCAGCCTGCCCCCGTGCTGGTTCCTGCTCCTTGGGCCCTGTGTGTCCTAGAGACCTGGAGGGTAGGCAGCCCCTGGTATACACATGCGTCACCTCCAGTGGGCCCCTGACAGGTAACATGGCCACCTGGGAGCAGCCACGCCAGGTGTTGGTCACCTGCCCATGGCCCTCTTAGGCGCCTCTGCTGCTGGAAATGAGTGCGGGTCACTGCTGGCCACGCCCGCCCGCTCCCTCCCTCCTCACTCTCCCCGCTCCATCTCCCTCCCTCCTCAGCCTTCCCACGCCCTCCATCCCTGTGTGCCCTTCCTCAGAACTTACTCTGCCGTTTCCTGTTACAAAATGCCCAGCCAGCCTGAGTCTGGCCGGCCTCTGAGGTCCCCATGCAGAGGTCAGCATCCGCGCTGGCTCTGGGCTCCACAGGCCAGGCGACGGCAGGGAAGCTGCAGAGAGGGGGTGGGGGCGATGCCAGAGGGACCTCTGTTTTCTACCATCGCTGGTCAGACCCCTTCTAGAAGGCACCTCAGAGCACACTCCGTCTAGAAGACGGGTCCAGTGTGTGTCCAGGGTCACTCTGCAAGGTGGAGGCAAAGTGAGGCCTAGACAGAGGCCCGCCCTGCCTACCCCACCACACTGGAGAACCGGGCAGTGAGTGGCTCCACGGGGTCTCCTCCACACAGGTCCAGGGAGCCAGGGAGCCCCGAGAACGGGCAGGTGGGGCCGCAGGGCTTTGCAGCTCTTAGGGCCATGGGGGGAGTACAAAGGGCGGCCTGTTCTTCACCCCAAGTCTGTGCCGTTGGGTCTGTCTTCACAGACGGACAGCCTGGGGCAGAACCGAAACCGCATCACGCTTCGCTCGGTGTCTGAGGACAGCCCGGTGGCTTGACCCCTCCCCCAGCGCGTGTCTGGTGACAGCCGCTTTCACGAGCTCCAGCTTTTCGCCTTTGTCCGGGCTGGTAATGTGTGTTCAGCACTTCTCAGAGAAGCCTGCCATTTATACCCTGACATAGCTTCAGAGTGGATTCTTCGGGCAGCGTATGGAAACATATACTTTACCAAGAAAAGTAACTGGGGCGCGAGGCCTGGGGTTATTGGACACCTGACCACTACCCGGTGTCCCCAAGTGGGACTCTGAGTGGTGGTGGGTAGGGCTGGGGTCCCGCCAGCTTCCTGGTGGTGAGGATGTGTGGAGCGGGCTGGTCCCTGCGGCCGCTGAGCCCCTGACTAGGCCTGTGAACAGGCCCTTCATGTCCAATCTCTCATGCGCCATCTTGGTCACCTCACTCCCCTGATGCCAGGGACTTCTCGGGACCACAGGGCTGGCAAGCAGCAGGCCTGCCACCCCCGGAAGCCATGTCTAGGCCCTGTGAAAGCGCTCTCCCTGAAGAGGGTCCCCAGTGTGGAGCCCTGAGGGCGTGAGGAGAGAGCCTGTCCGGCCTTCGTCTGTCCCCAGCCTGGCGGGCAGAGCCAGTGCAGCAGCCCCAGCAGGACCCACGTGGGGTCAGGCTGTTTGTTTGCTGGGTGACAGCACCCCTCTGAGTTCATGCCAGGCTGGGCTTTGAGACTCTCCATTTCCACGTCCCTTGGGGCAGGTCCTTAATGCTTTTGCAGTTAGTGTAGCATACAGACTGTTTCCCGAGACTGTCGCAAAAGATCATTGTCACACTGTACACACAGGCTTCCCGCTTCATGAAAGCTGTCTCAGCGTTCTAGCTCTTGCTTAGGACAGCCTCAAGAACATGAGCCCAGAGTTCCTGGACTTTATTTTAATTAAAAGCCTCCTGACCCTCAGTGTCCCAAGTTGTCACCCTGCGCTCCTCTTGATCCTGCTTCCGTTTGCCTCATATGAACATGCAGATGGAGAGAGAGCGGCGGGCCCTCGAGACCTGAAGCCACCCACCCTGCCCACCGGCCACAGCTCTGCCCTCGCCCCACCTTGCAGACAGCCCAAGCATTCAGCTGGACTGAAAATAAGGGAAGGTTAATGGCCTTGGAACACCTGTGCCGTGAGGGCTCAGATTTGCAAGCTCAGTCATGCTCCTGTGCTTTAGAAAATGACCTCATCTCCTGCCCGGGCCAGCAGCGTCAGGTTACAGAGGATTCTAGAAGAGGTTTTTTAAAGTTAAGGCTGGCCATGTGTACCAGCGCTGAAACTGCTGGCTCTTTGCGAACCCACACCCAGCTGCAGGGGTGGCGTCCCACCCGCCCTGCTGTGACCTCCAATCTCTCTCTGGGGATCCCAAGAGAACAAACTGCTTGTCGGGGAGTCGCTCCTTAGCTGTAGCGATAGGACGCATTTGTTCTCCCCTCCAAGGCTAGTCGTGTGGCTCGTCTTTCAGAAAGTCAATTTGGGGGGTCGGAGAGGGGAGGGGAATAAGTCAGGGTCCCGCAGTCAGGGAGCTTTCCCGTGTCCTGGGTGAAGATGGCAGTGGTCTCACAGGCACCCACCGTGGAGGTCCTTGGAACTTCCTCGTCCCCAGGCTGTCCTGCGATACGAGGGTCCCGACGTGGTGTCTGACACATGTTCAGCTGGTACATGATGAAAGCTGTTGGGGAACCAGGCCCCTCCCCGTCCTCGCCCGCCTTTCAGGAACGCAAATGGGAAAAACCTTGACCTTTAGAGAAGCTCAGGACTCCTAAATGAAGGAAGTAAATTCCTTCCTCCCTCTCCTCCCTTCCTCCCTCGCTTCCATCCTCTTCCAGAGTTCCATACGTGCTAACGAGCGTTCCCTTTGGGCAATATGAAAGGTCTCTCTGAGTCAGAGGTTATAAGTCATTTACACACTAGTCTGAGTTAGGCAGCACAGCTTCCTTTCTCCCAGCATCCCTGTGAGATCAGCTCCACTAAGGGAAAGGAGCGTGTGGCGATCGGGTTGAGGGGACCAGCTAAAATGGGGTGCTTCATGCGGGGGGCAGTTAGTCAGCATGTGAATACTAAGAGGTGGGAGAAGATGACAGCAAAGGAGCTAGCAAGGGGTCAAGCAGGCTGTGTCCACCCATGTCTGAGAGACCGAGGAAGTGCTTCCCATCCCCGTTGGCCTCCTCCTCTATCAGAGCATGGACCACCTCTTCTGCCAAAGGCCAGGGTCTCGAAGTCAGCCCCTGCCCGCTCAGCCCCAACTCCCTCCTGTGTCACACCCATCTGTGGGTCTTCAGTGGGAGCATTTCTCCGGGGGAACAAGGCTGAGACCCGGACAGATGCTCACTTTAAAAGAAAGGCTCGGTTCCATTCTTTGGTTAATTCCCAGTTGGACAGAAAAATGAAAACATCAAGAGTCCTTCACTCCTAAATGTCCTCATTCATTTTTCGGCAGGGAATGTCCATCTCCGCAATGCTTTTAGAGTCAACAAAGTAAATGCCACATCATCTCCACATTCGCTGCCGTCAGATTATCAAAGCAGCCAGAGCTAATGGCTTAGGCATTAAATCTGTAATGTTTTCTCCCGTGAGTCAGCTACAAAGAAGAGATGTAAACACTTTCTGTGCAGTAGAATTTTCTCCTACCAAGAGAAAATGTTGAGTGATACTCCAGAAATGCACCTGCTGGTCTAGCAGTGGACAGGCCCCCGTGGAAGGAGAGGGGCTTCATCAACCTGAAAACTTACCCATCTTCGGGTCCGGGGGGTGGTTCGCATGAACTTTGCTTACTGTATCACTGGGGGAGCCAAGGCGTATGAAAAACCGAGGAAGGTAAATTAGCGTATCCTTCTGAGACCCAAATCTTTTCTGATAAAACAGGTGACGAATGGGCAAAAGACAGTCTCCCTAGCTGTGTCCTCTTTTCCAAATGCTTAGCGTTTTTAAATAGCTCAGCACCACTAAAAGCATATTTATTCTGCTTCCATTGCAAATCTGTGAGTGGTTTTCAAAGTTGGCATTATGATGCTTTTCTTCAGATGTGGCTGAGCAGTATTTTCAAGAGAGCATGGCTAGTTTCAAAGATGCCGAAGGGACGGGAAAAGCCAAGCTTCTTTCCATTCAAGATGAATATTGCCATTTTCTACAAGTCACTGGACAGGAAGAGGTAAGTGACTAGGGACCACAGTTGACTGGTTATTTACACGGGCAGATACTGTAGTCCTTCGCTCTGCATGCATCCAGTAGGCAGCTACTATGTGCAAGGCATGTGACAGACTCCACAGGGACATGGGTAAAAAGGCCATGCGGCCACTCTCAGGCCACTCCCAGATACTCGCTCTTGGGAATATGAGAATGTGACATCGTGGTCACCCACACAGGATCTGAAGGACTAGAAGCCTTGAGCAGCCAGTGGACAGAGCCAGGTTATCGCCACCTCATTCTGGCTGGGGTGTGGCTGGGGTGTGGCTTGTGCCAGAGCACGTGCTTGGAGGGCAAGACACGGCTGGGGGTCGACCCTGTTTATCCCCATGCCTGGCGCCCTGCTGCCTGGCACAGCTCGTCCACCCACACGTGGCAGCCTTGCGCTGTTCTCACCCTGGGCGCGGACTTCTCACGGTAGGTCGGCCAGCAAGGGCTGGGCCCGAGGACAGTCCCAGAGACGAGCAAGGGGCTGTGCTCAGACCACTCCAAATGAGGTCACAGCCTGCCCATGGGCCAGCACCCTGCACTCACACGAATGTGATCTCTGGGGAGGAAAACGCCCTTTAAAGTGAAATGTAAGTAAGGTGGCTCTTGTCTGGGTGGCTTTATCTTCTAGTTGTGCCACTCGAGAACTTTCTCTGACTTTTCTTCTGGTGAGGACATCGAAATTCCTGGCTGTGGCACAAAGGCCCTCCGCCACCAGCCCAGCCTGTGACCCCGCCTCACCTGCCTCAGCTCCCCTTCCTGTTTTCTCTGCGCAGTCAGATCCATCCGCTCCCTGGCCCCGAACGTGCCATGTGCTCCCGGTTTCCCACGCCCGCTTCTCAGCCCATCTGTTTTATTATTCTTTCCACCTCTTCATTTATCTCTTCCAACTCTCGGAGACTGACACGGTCTGTTTCCTCCAAAGCCGTGTGGCATCTCATCCATTGCCATCTCGACTTGCCACTCAAGTTCATGACATCGCTCTCTGGTTTCCTGCGAATAGCATCGAAAGTTTCATTTGGGAAAAGGAGTCTGGCTCTTCTTTCCATCGTTGGCTCCTCACAGCCGCAAATCCACTCCCACAGAAAAGCTGCCAACCCCAACACTGCAATGCTGGGTCCTTGGTCACAGACGCTGGAAGAGGACGTGGTACACGGGGCGTGACGGACTTTAGCATTAGGCAAGGCCCTCACCTGCCAAGGTGGGGCGCACATTCCCAATTTACGCAGTGTCTCTGCCCGGGCAGCGGTTCCTTTTCCCACCTAAGACACTATTTCTACCTCGTCAGCGCCTTTTCTGCGGTTTTCCCACCACACCCCCCAACCAAACTCATGTTATCGCCGGAGAAAGGAGTCCAGCCCTTGCCAGCGCCTTCTGTCCGCGGGGCGCTGTCCAGGCGCCGTCAGGGCTGTGTGATGGGGGAGCGTCTTCCACCGGTTCCTGCTTTACTTGCCTCTTGAACTCGGCATTGTGCTCTGCGGCTGTGATCGCGCCTTCAGCTAGATGATCTCGGAAGAATTTCAGGAAAAACCTGGGAGAGCGACTCACAGGGGTTTCCCTCTCCACGTCTCGGTGTCTGATCGAAGAGATTAATTTCAGGAGATACTGGTTTCTAACCAACTCATTTTTGTTCTATGTTAGTATAAATAAATTAGACAAACGGAACAAAACGTCAAAGACATTTAATTTTTTATCAAGTGTGCTTTTGGTTTCATAAACGATTTCTTATGAGAAATAGAAAACACTGGAATATGTTTTGCATGTTCTGTAAACAGATAAATCACCAGGAAACGAGTTTTCACTCGTGTAAACATGTTACTGCACAGAGGAAGAAGACTCTGCGACTAAAAACGATTAAAATCACTAGTCGGCTTCAGAGTCTGTCTTTGCCACTGACGAGCTGTCAGACTCTGAGCAAATTTCTCGACAGCTCTGTGCCTCAGTTTCCTCCTCTGTCAAATGAGGATTAAAACTGTGCTTATCTAAGGGAGGCTGAGAATGAAATGAGCTCACACACGTAAAATGTTTAGCACAGTTTTTGACACACAAAGGACACCATCCCTGTTAGCGTTTTTTCTTACTACTCAACCGAAATGGATTCTTATAACTTCCGAGGTAACTTTCCTCCAGGTGTCCTTTATGCATTCTCTCTTCACAGTTCACACCTTTCCCCCCACCCCATAGACTTCTGTCTCTTATTTAACCAGAGGAAAGTAGGCTCAGCTCCCGAGACATGCTCCCCAAACCCATTCCCCTAAAAAGTGAAAATACACGCGAGTTACATCATTTTCTTAAGCGGCACCGATTTTTATCAGCCTTTGAACTTTTTAACCAGACAGCTTTCTGATCCTTTCGCAGAGAGCAACCTCCATCCTGAGAGAGTCCTTGGGAGCCAAAGTGGCAGTGTTTGGTGACCTCAGTGCTGAGGTGGCAGAGACGTACCGCCTCCTGAGCAGGGCTGACCTGGCGCAGGGGAACCACAGCAGGGCCCAGAAGAAGCTGAGGAAAGTAAGTCTGGACGGAGTGAGTACTAACGCCAGAAAAAACCTCCATCCCTCCTCACGGGCCACTTTCTCTCCTGCCCCCATCCTCTGTTTAAATGAGCCTTTTTTAGGTAAGAGGACATCGCTTTTGCGGTTGATCTAAATGAACACTTTTGGGGTAAAAGCTATAGTAATCCTCTTCTACAAGTACATTTTTAAATGCATCATCAATTATTTTTTTATAAACGTCATGCAAATGGTGTTTAACTTTTACGTAGTGTAATTGATCCATATTTTATTTTATCGTACTCTTTCCGTACACCAGTTTGGAGAGGAATTTGCGTGTTCTTCTAGTACTTATATATTTATTTCTTTTTTGACTTGGAGTTTGTTCGTGTGGATGGTGTGAGGTGTGGAGTTAATGGGATCTTTTTTCCAAACGGGTACCCCGTTTTCCAGCACCTGTTTACTAAAGAGCCTACTATGCTCCAGCGATTTGGGATAACACCTTCATATCCTACATTTCCACAGGATTTGAGTCATTTCTGGATTTCTCTTCTATTCCGCCGATCTTGGTTTATTCGAATGCCAGTTCCTTATTGTTTTAAATTTAGAGATTTCATAGCATGATTTAATATCTGGCAGGACTACACACCCCTCATGGTTTTTCTCCCCTTTGAATATCAGGTTTTCTAAGTATTCTTGCATGTGTATTTTCCATGTGAATTTTAGTATCAACTTGTCTAACTGCATACAAAGGTTAATGGTAATTTTTAGAGGATTGCATTATTCGTAAACAAACTGTGGGAGAACTGGTATCTTTATGATGTTGGGTCATTTTACCCAAGGGATATCTTTGTATTTGTTGATGTTACTTATGTATTATTTAGACACATTTTAAAGTGTACCTTTTACAGGTTTGGCACATTTCTTAGTAGGTTGATTTCTAAGCATTTTATCTCCTTTAATACCATTATAAATGGAGTCGTATCCACTATTATATTGACTGGTTATTTTTGTGTATGTGAAGACTCTTGGTTTCTCTGTTATTTTGTATTCTGCTACTGTGTTTAATTTGTTTCTTGCTTGAGTTAATTCGAGGCTTGATTCTCTTGGGTTTTCCAGATATCCTATTACGTTATCTGCAAATAGTTTTACTTTATGTTATTCAATTCTTTTGGCTCTAATTGACTTCTCTTGTTTAATTGCATTGGTTCATACCTCCAGTACAGTAATAAGTAATGAGTGGAGATAAAAGCTCTTGATCTTGTTCTTGATCTTAGTGGAAATGCCTCTAGCAATTCTGCCTTTTAGTAGATGCTGACTTTAGGGCTAACTTTTATCTATTTTATTGTATTAAAGAAATATCAGTTCTTTTCTATTTCCGTGAATGGTTTTTTATTAGAACTAAGTGTTGGATTTTATCAAAGGTTTTTTTCAACATTAGTGGAGATAATTAGGTGATTCTTCTTAGATCACTTAATATGGTGTATTATTTATTATAGTATCGAACCAAACTTGCATTTCTGGAATAAATCCCCTTAGTTATTATATTGAAATATCTTCTTAACGTGAGGTTGATTCTGTTTGCTGATATTTATTTTAGGAGTTTTGCACCAATATTTGTAAATGATATTCGTTTAAATGTCAATGTGTGTTTGCTTCATAAAAATAATTTGGAAGTTTATTTTTATATTCTATGCACTGAAGAAATTTGTGCAGCATGAAAACTATCGAGTCTTTGAGGGTTTGTATGTCCTATGAAACTCCTTAGGCTTTTTTATGGAGAAATCTCTTGACGATTTTCTCTATTTCTCCTACAAAAAAAATTGGTGTGTTGAAGCTTTCTACCTCTAATGGGATCATTTTGGAAAACTGTTTTTTTCTAGGTAACTATTTCATTTATACTTCAGACTGATTCATACAGAGATTTGCAAAGTAGTCACAAGAATCTTTTTAATTTCTACTTTTTGAATAGTCATTTTCCCAGTTGTAGTTTTATATTTGGATTTTCCCACTTTTTTATTGACTGAATTAGTTAGTTAGTGGTTTCTCTGTTTTGTTCATTTTTTTTTAGGGGACCAGGATTTTAATTCCATGGACCACTTGTTTTCCTATTCTCAATTTCATTAATTTCTGATTTTATCTTTATTATTTCTTTCCTTGTGACTTCTTTTATTTTATTTTACTTCGTTGGAGTTTTTTGCCGTATCTTTTTGAGTTTAAGATTTTATTTGTTCTCATTTTTATCGATTTAAGTGTTTTAGGCTATGTATTTGCTTATTGCTTTAAATGTATTCGATAAGTTCTGTCGTGTTGTTTTTCCATAACATTAATTCGTTTTAAAATGAAGAAAACCAGGGAACCTCTAAGTAACATAACTGACCAAACCCAAAGACTTAACTTCCGTTCAGAGTGGGCTGTCCTATAAGTCAAGCTTTTTTTCTCTTTTCCTGACTTTTCTGATTCTGCTGCAAAAGGCACCAGATCTGGTAACATGTTCGGTACCTATTTTTTAACGAGATGACACATGTATCTAACATCAGTTAGTTAAGAAATAGTTATTGGACACCTTCTCTGGGCCAGTCGCTGTGCTAGGCAGACCCGAGGGAAAAAGCTACGCAGACAAAGGTGCTCCTTGTCTGTGCGAGACGTTCTAGTCTAGCCAGGAAGACATGTACTAAACATTAGCTTGATAGAGGTCATTTGAGCATCGCACATGTGCCAGAGACGTCACGGTGAAGGAAGAGGTAGAAGGGGAGCTCAGGGCGCTGGTCTCTGTGTTTCCCCATCACCCGCTTCCACGGGTGAGTGTCGCGTCTCTGGCGCTGTGTTAAGCGACTTACGTGCGCACAGATATTTAAGCCCCGCGTCACCCTGACGAGGCGGGCGCCTCTCAGAGTGGGAAACTGAGGCCGAAGGGACGAGCTGCGAGTCACCGGGGGATTCGAGCCAGGCCGTCTGTGTTGTGCGGTCCTCCCTACACCATCCTCTGTCACACACGCGGGCTTCCAAGTGAGATTTCGTTTGAACAAGAGCATCCTGTGCTCAAAGGTTTG